GAGGAAGAAGACTAAGATTTGAGAAAAGAGGGAAGAAACTAAGATTGAGAAAGAGGGAAGAAGACTAAGGATTGAGAAAGAGGAAAGAAGACTAAGATTGAGAAAGAGGAAAGAAGACTAAAGATTGAGAAGAGGAAGAAGACTAAGATTGAGAAAGAGGAAGAAGACTAAAGATTGAGAAAGAGGAAGAAGACTAAAGATTGAGAAAGAGGAAAAAGACCTAAGATTGAGAAAGAGGAAGAAGACTAAGATTGAGAAAGAGGAAGAAGAAACTAAGTTGAGAAAGAGGAAGAAGACTAAACGAATTGAGAAAGAGGAAGAAGACTAAGATTGAGAAAAGAGGAAGAAGACTAAGATTGAAGAAAGAGGAAGACGCACTAAGAATTGAGAAAGATGAAAGAAGAACTAAGAGTTGATGAAAGAGGAAAGAAGACTAAGATTGAGAAAGAGGAAGAAGACTAAGATTGAGAAAGAGGAAGAAGGACTAAGATTGAGAAAGAGGAAGAACGACTAAGATTGAGAAAAGAGGAAGAGACTAAGGGATTTGGAAAGAGGAAGAAAGACTAAGATTGATAAAGAGGAAGAAGACTAAGATTGAGAAAGCAGGAAGAAGATAAGATTGAGAAAGAGGAAAAGACTAAGATTGAGAAAGAGGAAGAAAGACTAAGATTGAGAAAGAGGAAGAAAGACTAAGGAGTTGAGAAAGAGGACGAAGACTAAGAATTGAAGAAAGAGGAAGAGGAAGAGCAAGAGGAAGAAGACGAAGAACGACGAAAAGATGCAAGAAGAGTAAGACAAAAGTAGATTGATTAGTGATTACGAGCGGCGTCAACTGCAGAAGGTAATTCGTCGCCCGTAAGTATAGTACATGTTTTATTTCGCTGCTGGTTGTTGTGATTTTTCCGCTGATGGATGGAGAGATTCGGCGCCGACATACGTGAGTTAAACGGGATTTTTCCCACCCAAGGTATCTCCAAACAACAAGGAACGCGCTCCTGCCGGGGGACAAGCTCTAATCTCTCGACCAGTCGCTCAGCGAAGTGTGGGTAAAGCGTAGTACACGTGAGTACAAAGTGTGGTGTAAGAGTGAGGAATAGGGTAAGGACGCGGACGATAAGATCGCGCCCGTGTGTGGCTCGTTTGTCAGGTGGTGCTCCTGCATTCGCCTGGTGTTTAATCGGGAGAAACCAAGGACACTCTCGATCAACCATCAGCCGGCGCTGGAATTCTTCCTTCAGATCAGTGACCTGAATTGGATGTATCAAATATAGCTGATGTTCGAAAACTCTGCCACCGTCGAACTCTAACCATA